TCAAATATATTTGTATACATTGTTATCATTGTCCCCACACCCACAGTCCATCATATGGTCCAATGTTCTTCTTCCACGCTGGCGTCTACACCCAACTTCTTCCGATCAGGTGTGAAAGTGCGGAGACAAAGGATGTCCTTGAATTCTAGTAAAGAATGAAAATAATACATTCCACAGTCCTACTCCTTCTATTCCCCCCTCCCATCGGCTACACTTAAAGAAACAGCATAATGAAATAAGAGAGTGTGGCAGGCCAAAATTCTAAAAGGAATATAAATGCAGGCCTGACAAGGTCCTTCTCACATCCCATGACAAAGGTGGGCCCAAAGATTCCTATCAATTATTCATTCCTCTCATTGCCCACTTGGCCAACATTTTAAGTGCTGTCTCCACATTAGCCACTGAATCTTCTTCAAAAACCTCTTCTGGCTGAAGGGAGTGGCCCAGGAAGGCTTTTAAGTGGTCAAAATCACAAATCTTACCCTCTACCTGATGGTACGGTTCTTCGCCTTCTGCACGTCGCTCTCTTTGAAGATGAATCTCCTGGAGAAAAAACAACAACAACAATGCCAGATCACAAAAGAATGCAGGAAACTCTCAAGTGGACTTCAGTTGTCTCCCGGTTAGCCAGAGGCCCTTGCCCTGATCCCCCTTTGGAAGATGGGGGGGTGCTTTTCACAGTGCCAGATCCTGTATGGGGTGAAAAGGATTGACGTGCCCAGGGTACCCTGGCCACAGAAGCTTCAATCTTCCTTTTATCTTCCTTTCCATCGCTCCCTCTCCCTTCTGCCTCTTCCTTCTCTCTCTCTTCTCTCTCCCTCTCCCTTCCCTTCACTCTCCTGTCCCTTAGCATTCCTTCCTTCCCTTTCCCCTTTTCCTTCCATCTCCTTCCCATTCTTTTTCTTCCATCAATCCTCTCCCTCCTTGCATATGGTCTCCCCTCCTCTCCACTTCCCCTTTCTTCCCTTTCTCCTTCACCTTGAAGACCTCCATGGTCAAAGTTAAACTATTCATTTCCATCATCTTTAATGAGTCAAAGAAATCCTTCATGGTCTCGGTGCTCATTTTCCAGAACATTTCAGAAATAGCATTGTGTCTTCCTCCATATTCTCGGGGAGCGAAGAGGGCTAAATAGTTGAATCTGAAGTGTTGAGGGATTCCTGACTCATTCTGTGCACAGGGAAGATCAGCCTTGTTGAGCGTCTCCAGGACAGGTGGAGTCCACCCATCCACAAAGGTGATCAGGAGTTGGATGTTATCGTCTTTTCCCATCATGGAGAGCATGGAATGAAAGATGCATTTCTGGGCATGAGTTGAATGGGCAAGGAAGGCCTGGGCCAACAAGCAGATGACATCAATATGGTCAATGCCCCCTGGGGTGGAGAAAAACTCCAGGAGCTGCTTCTCAACCAGGTTGTCTTGCTCTGAGTCTCTTGCACCTCCAAATCCTGGAGTGTCAATGATTGTGAGAGAATAGGGAATTTGGAAGCCCTTCTGGTGGTTCACCACATAGGCTGTGACTTCAGACGTCCTGCTTGCAGCTTCGCTTCTCTGAATGGTTTCATGAATCATTTTGAATCTGAAATAATCTTTCCACTGGACACCCAGGATATAATTGATCATCCCGTTGATCAGCGTGATTTTCCCACACCCTGTTTCTCCCATCACCAGGATCACTTTGTTGGGCACTTCCAGGTTCTCCTGTCCAAGCTGGTACAAGAGAAAGGATGGGGAAGTATCTGAGGAGACTTTCTCCAGAGGAAGGGTAAACACTAATGGCTGTCTCTCCTCCACTAGGGAGTTTATCTGAATGAACTGTTGGGCTATGTTGTCTGCACTTTCTTCCTCCAATGATGTGGAGACCTCCACCTCCTCACTGGGGCCACTCAGAGCTCCATTATCACACATGGCTGACACCCATATTCTCACATCTGTGAGGGTCTGGGGCTTCAGACCCTCAAGGAGATAAAACTCTGTTTTTCTCCAGGTCCTTTCTTCCCTCCACTGGTCCTTCCCAGATCCAGCCTCCACTATTCTGTACTCCACCTTGTACTCCTTGACCACAACTCCTGAGGCAACGATGCTGGGACTCATCCAGGCCACAGAGATGACAGAAGATGCTGCAGTGACCATTCTTAATTCCTCAGGAGGGCTGGTGGGAAGGGTCTTTATGGGCGGGCTCAGCTCATTGGATTTACTATGACCTACCTTGCAACAAGCAGCATACTGGAACTGGTACTCTGTGTTTGGAGGCAGATCTTTCAGCAGGAACATCTCCCAGCATTGCGGGTCCTCTCCTTGTCCTCAAACCAGGCCAGGCCTTTCTTCACCTCAGGAGTGGACCTTGTGGACTTAGCTGATTCTGGCAAGAATCGCTCCTGAAGCTAGTCCTTTAAGGTCAACAGAAATGGCTCGTCTTCGTGTAAAGAGGTGAATACAAAGGAGACCACATATAAATTTTGAGGGTCAAGAAATATTTCTTCCATCTTGTTCTGTGAAGAGATAATTTGTATTTTACTTAGAAGAGTCAGATAAGATTTGACAAATCTTATCTGACTCTTCTAAGTAAAATACAAATTAATTTCTCTTTTTTTAATTTCTCTTTTTTTTTTCTGTTCAGAAATTCACGGAGTCTTTGGCTGTGAAGGGCAACTGGTTGACCGCACAGTCACACCCACAGTCCATCACATGGCCCAATCTTCTTCTTCCACACTGGCGTCACCACCCAGCTGCTTCTGGTCAGGTGTGAAAGTGCGGAGACAAAGGATGACCTTGGCTTCTAGTAAAGAATGAAAATAATANTGCATAGAAGCTAAAAGATATTGGACTAAAATCCACACTTGGTTGGAAAAAATGATAGAAAAACACATAGACTTTAAATCAGAGATCTTTTTATTGAAAATCATACTGGAAACATACAATAGAGAATTGAAATATTTGATTGTAAATGTGTTAACAGCATCTAGAATTGTATTTGCTAAAAATTGGAGAAATGAGAAAATACCAACGCAGGAGGAAGTTATTCACCAAATAATGGAATGTGCTGAAATGAGTAAATTGACATTTGAAATTAGAGAACAGGAAGATAAACAATTTTATAAGATAATGGGATTTATTCTATCAGTGGTTAGATAAAAAAACATGGAAATGAAAGATGTTAGAGAATGTTATAAATATAAGAATAATAGAATGATACAGAATGTAACATAAATATACATTATTACTGGATAGATTTAAGATGATGTAATGAATTGTTATACTATAAATGAATCCAATACCTAGAATATCTCGTTCAAAATGAAGGACTAATAGTGATAGTCAAATAAATGAGGTACAATGATAACAATGTATACAAATATATTTGATTTGATAATATGTGATTTCATATAAATTGTAAGTGATGACTATGGAAAGGATGCACAAAAATCTTGTAACCAATCGACACACTGTATGTAATTGAAGATGGCTTTATGTTTTATGTTTTGTTTGTCTATGTCTGTTTAAAAATAAAACTTTTTTTATTAAAAAAAGATCATGAGAATTAAAATAAGGTTTAATTGTTTTCAATAATTCATTTGAATGTTTGAATTGTCCTGCAGTGAGTTGGCTGAGGCGAGTTCTCCCATTCCGTCATCCTTCTGGATGTCCTTCACGTACCGGGGGAAACACAAACAGGCCAGCAACTTCCATACTTGATGGGGCATAGGGAAGTCTAGATTGTTACTACCAAGGGTCCTGACGCCTCCATACATTTTGCGTCTGCACCTACTTCCCTTGGAAGACCCGTGAGGGGAATCCCTTTGGTTACTCTGGGATGGTAAGGATCCTTGGACCAGCCTTGGGTTATTACCCTTCAAGGGAGTAACCAAACCCATAATGCTATTTTATTTCAAGGGGGCGGGAACATAAATGGGGGAAACCTTTATCCCCTCCCCAATCTTTGCTTCCCAGAGGAGCTTCACAGATACTTTTACCACCCCTGTTGCTGTGGGCTGAAATGTCCCTTCTCTGACTGTTGCTTCAGCTACAAGGTCTTTCAGCGTTCCGAATACCATGAAGAATTAAAGCAGAGTCGAAGGCAAAACTATGCTTAAAGTTCCAATTTAATAAAACAGGCATGTTGGCACATAGCTGTGGGGATTCCAACTCTGGAAGTTACATCAGAATCCCACCCAGTTAAAAGTTCATGATCTTGCCCCCACAACCACAATCCATTACATGGTTCAATCTCCTTCTTGCATGCTGGCGTCCATGCCCAGCTTCTTCCGGTCAGTTGTACTGGTGTGGAGACAAAGGATGACTTGGCTTCT